CGGGCCTCTTCAGGCCGCCTCCAGGAGGAGGGGGGGAGGAGGAACGGGGGGGAGGAGGGGAGGAGGTGTGATTGGGAAAGGGGGGAGGGGGGGGAGGAGGAGAGTGGGAATGACCAAATAATGACCAATCGGCACCCTGTGCCGTCCCAGGGCTCAGTCTGAACATGACATGGACTCGCCGCTCGCAACGCACCAAACTCGGCGTCCTCGTGCCAGAGCTGCGCCACGACCCTGTCGAGCTGGGAGTTCGCCGATCCGCACAGGGAGCTTGAATTATCGAGGCCCGCGGGGACAACTCCCACCGCGGAGTGCGAGGCGGCAGGCAGCCTATACGAGGGCTGCCTATCACGCGCAATCCTACGCCTGTTCACAAGCCCTTTCCTGCTGCGCGCAGGCGGGCGCACCTCGAAAAAATGACGGGGGTCCATGGCCACCGTCTGCCCACATCTATCACAGAAACGTAAACTATGGAGATCCCAAGCCCACATGCGATGGCTGGGGCGCATCCTGACCAAACACGCCCACGCCGACCCAACCAGCCCCCGCAGCGACAGCCCGGCTATCGTAGGGGAGCTCCCAGGTCCAGAAAGGGAACCAAAACAAACACGGGAGCAGGCATACACTAAGGACGCGGAGGTGGCCACCTCTAAACACCTCGAACACTGCCAGCGGACGCCATATTTGACGGAATCATGGGATGAGGTCGATTGCGACACGGCACGCGGAGGGAGGCGAAGCTTCATCTCGCCGGGGGAACCCAACCACTCGCCTTCCCAGGAGTGCACGGCAATGGTGACCAGGAGGGCTCGGCGAATTCGTTTGCGCATGATGTGCGTTTCAAAATCGACTCGATCGACGACGCGCTGGTCGGGCCACTCGGAGAGAGTTCCCATCTCCGAGAAGCGGCCTCGCTGGCGACTATTTCCGCCGCCGCATTGCCCGTGCAATAGAACCTGTCCTTCAGGGCCCCGACCCTGCCAGGTCTCTACTCTAGGTGGGATGGGGTCAAATCGACGCTGCCATATCCAACGCGCGCGGCAGCGGCCAGACGAATGGCCCCCCATAGCTCTGCAATGTCGTCAAAGGGGGCTGGGTTGTCACCGCGGCCACGAGATCATGCGAAAAACAATGGCAGTTGATCTGTTGCATAGGTAAGCTCAAATGGCACCAGCTTCAGAATGACACAAAAAGGGGAACACGAAGTTCGGCCCGATGGGGCGGTTTGCAGTGCAGATGGCTCGACAGAGCAATCGCCGCTCCCCGAAGAAGGCTCCACTCGGCCTCATCAGCCTGCTGCGTTATTAAGATCCGCAACGCCTGCGTCTGGGGCCACTGGGGGCTCGCCCCTGAGCATCCCCCGAAGACACCTGCGGCCTACGGGCCCACTCGAGGGGCCATGGAGGCGCGAGGAGCCCAAAAACATTAAGGGGCCTGTCGAGGGGCGCTGGCCTCAAGAAAGCATGGGGTGGCGGGATGGCTTGCGGGGGCCCCATCGGAACCAATGCGCGGGCTCGGCCTCGCGACAGCCGCGCGAGCATAAGTGCAATCGCTGCGATCATAAGCAGGATGGCCTGTGAATTTCTCGCACAACCAGCAGCGGCATAAGGAGGTCTCAGACTCCCTCTCATCGTCTCTTGCAGAGCTGGCTGCATGGCCGCCCGGCAGCAGCCTATCGTTCGGGAAGCCACAATCCACAAGTGGCATGTGCGACTGCGGCCGACCGCGCGTCGATCCCACCTCGCTTCTCGTTGCGCTTCAACTCGCGCGATACTCGATGTAAATCTGCCCCGGCCCAGAGATCATCCGAATATATGGGTATGGGCGCTCTCTGCCAGAGCTGACGTGCCTCATCCGAGGCGAAGTTATCTGATTGCTCCATGGAGTCGGCCGATGAGACAGCGCCCGTGTCATCGTGTCATAGCGCAAGAATTTGCCAAACGTCAGACCCCCCTGCCGTCTTGCGCTTCCACGACTCAGGGCAATCGGATGTCCGCGGGGGCGGGGCGAGCAACGCAATGGCGTCGCTGATGGGGCCCTCGCACATCGGGCCAGACGGGGTTCCAGTCAGCGACCACAGCTGGGCGCGCGGTTGTCCGCGCCAGCTGCGCGCGAGGATATGCGCCAGGGCGGCTGAACCACAACTTGAACTATTCATTGACCAAGAGGTGGGCAAGCGACCTGCAGGATCGTGAATGCCAGGAGTTCATGCCAGGGTCGACGCGAAACAACACCCTCTCTTGGTACCTGCAAGTGATGTAGCCACTCACCTCGACTCCAGCGCCCGAGGCTTCGTGGCAGTAGACCGCGCGTGGAAGCGCGCCTGTGCTCCATCATCCCTTAGCTTCGCGTCGGAAAGAAGCCCCGGGCATCCTGATCCGAAGGCTGCGCTTTTATTGTTGCTGCGATTTGCTTCTTCGCGATGCCATTTTGCGGACGCCCCCCCCCCCCCTGCCAGCGGCAGTGTCCAAACCCAAATATGCTGTAGTCGTGCCTCATTGCGCTGGAACGGCGTCCAACTGCAGCGCCCGCGCCAATCTCCTGCCCCGCGGAGCAGGGGGGGGCCGCCGAGACCGTCTTGTCAGAGATGGTGAGCCTGCGCTGGCGGAACAGGGGTGTAAACTCTTTCCCAACCGCCCGGATCTCAGTGAAGACCACTCCCTCATCATAGTCCTCCACCCTGCCCGAAACGGAGCGACGGGGCAGGACGGATGCGGTGGGCACGCTCCAGCAGGGGATGCAACAACAATTTGGCCAGCTGCAGCCCACTGGGGCTGCGGGCAACGACGGATCTCGTGACATCGATTGGCGGGCTAAACCAGGCCCCTTACTTTGAGCAGCCTGGGCGCCGCGCGCATCTGAACCCCCGCGATGGCAGCCGCCATGGGATGCCGCGCTTGTTTCGCATTCATAAATCGTGGAACAAGCGCGAAGCTGCCGTGTAATTTTTTCTGGTCCAGCAGCGAGCGCGCCTTCCTGTTGACGATCGCCGCGTCGCCCATCAGCAATCGCGCCGTCGACGCGCGCTCCGTGGGCCGGCGAGCCTGAAAATGCTGAGTCCCAGTGGGCAGCTAACTTGTCTGACCGCGCATGCGCCGGGGGCGGCCCTGCCCGTTGCAATGCTTTTTCCGGAGTTGGCAGGGGGGCCCGGGGCGCGCCCCCCCCCCTTGAGGTTGGGGGGCCACCGTGCCCGAAGTCGCGTGGATCTGACAAGGCCAAGTTGTAGCCTCTTCGCAGCCCTTGAGCACTTGTACATGCGCCCGTCGGCCTTCCATGGGCCGCTTCGCTCTGTCGTCCTTCGTGCACTCGTCCACTCCTGTGGCCTCCTTGGCTGGCATTCTTGCTGGCGTCCTATCTGGGCCCTCGATCTGCAGTGGCGCGAACGGTCGGTTCGTGGCGACCACCGTTGCTTCAGAGACAGCTTGAACGATGCCCGCTCCGATGTCCACCGTGTCTGTGAACTTATATGACCGCTGCTGTGCTCTGACCTGCGCGACGTGCGCCGGCTCGGGCGAGCCCCCCGCTTCCAATGTGAAGGATGGGCGCCCTCGCGCGCTGTTGGCCCCTAGCGGCGTGCATGCTCCCACTGTTGCTTGGCCCACTGCGCGAATTGCTGCCCGTCCTTGCCCGCGGCTCGCGCCGGCGCTCTGCGGGTGCGCTTGGAAGCGATGCCCAGTGGCCTCTGGGGCCCACCTGCGCGGCCAGGTGGCCAAGACTCAGGATGGGCTGAGCCTCCCGACTTGTCACTCGCCGCAGAAGCCGCGACCTCCCCCTGGCCAGGACTGGGGCCGTCGGCGCGCTGGTGGGGCGCGGGCGGCCGCGGGGGGTCCGAGCGATCAGCCGCGGTGATAGTTCGCGCTGCACCGACGAAGTCAATCGTAGCAACAAGGGGCCAGATCGCCATCCCATAAACGTCGCGCGTCTGCCCGGCTCGCGGGGAGGGCCCCCGGCCCCGCGCCTGCGGTTCCCGCGCCAGCGCGCGCGGGAGAAGCGCCGGCACCCTCGACGTGGGCAAGCCTCCTGGCCGCGCGCGCTGCGGACCCCGCGGCGCCGCGCGCGCGAGAAACCTAAGCCTCCTCCTGGGACTCGCGGGGAAGGCTCCCGGCCCCGTGCGCTGTGGGCCCGCGTTAGCGCGCGCGAGAGAAACAGTGGCCCTCTCGTTGCGGGGTTCGCGGGGGGGGCCCTGGCCCCGCGCGCCGCGGGTCTCGCGTCGGCGCGCGCAGGAGCGAAACCTTGACTTCTTCCAGCAAAGGCTCGCGGGGAGGGCCCCTGGCCCCATGCGCTGCGGTTCCGCGTCGACGCGCGGGCTGGAACCGCCGCCCACATCCTCGGGGGACTTGCGGGGGTGGCTCCTGGCCCCGCGCGCCGCGGGTCCCGCGCCAGCGCGCGCGCTGCGCGCGCGGTCCTCGCCCTGGCTTGCGGGGCTAGCGGGGGTGGCCACCGACCCGCGCGCCGCGGGTCCCGCGTCGGCGCGCGCGAGAGAACAGCGGCCCACCTCCTCGCAGGGCTCGCGGGGGGGGCACCTGGCCCTGTGCGCGGCGGGCCCCGCGCCAGCGCGCGCAACGGAGAACCTGGCCGAAAGCGCAGCCGCCAAACCCGCCGACCCACTCGTGGCAAACGTGGCCGAAGATCGCAGCGTGGAGGGCGCTGCGCAGTAACTTTGCGACTTTGCGTCGTCGCGGCCGTGGTCTCTGCCGGGCCAAACGGGGTGGTTGCGCCTGGGTGACATAGGAAATGATGCGCGCGATAAATCAATCCAAAATCCCAAAGCCCATGGTTGATCTTTCCCCTTCTACAGCCATTGTGGGCGACGCAGGCGGCTGACTTTTCGCGCGCTCTCGGGCAGGTGCGACGCCTTCCCAAGATGGCGCATTATGTTTGTCAATGGCAGGTTGTCCTTTGACGAGTTGGACAATGGGCTGCTTGCGTTCCTCTCGCTCCTCCTCGGGGTCCTCTTCAGAATGCAGATGGCAATCCGCCTCCGCCGTCGTTGGCACGCGGCG